TGCTTTATGAGGAATGGACTTCAACTCCCAGAATTCCCCAGCCAGACTACAACTCCCTGATTTACATCCATGCTGGCTGGGGAATTCTGGGAGTCGAAGTCCACAGATCTTTAAAGCTGCCAGTTTTCGACATTCCCGGTGTAAATCCAAGGATGTCAATCAAAAGCACAGCAAAGAAAACCCAAGTGCGCGAAGTAAAAACTTGCCAGGGGACAAGTGACTCTTGAACTTTTGCTGATTTCGTGGTCAGTGGAGGAAGGAACCCGGGTGAAGAAAAAGCTGTTTTGCTTCACAAGACGCTCTGGCTCTCTCTCAATCACCTGTCCTGATGTGCTATGACGGTATCCTAAAACTTAGCACAGCAGCTGGACATCAGGCGAGAATAGCTCTCTGTGCGCGCTTCGGGTCCTCCTTCTGACACCATCCAGATTGGAATCAGGAGTCAAGGGGATTAAGGGAGATGCTTCCCACCAAAGCTGGTGGAAAAAAAAACGCGCTATGGGTCCGGATTCCTATCTCTCTGCAGGATTGGCAACACCCCAGCTTTCTTACTCAGCAGAGGCGGGTGGGGCAAACCTTCCTAGATGAGACTTGAAACCGGATCCTCTGAGTCACCTTCTGCCCCCCTGATCACAAACAGCCGATCCGGATCCAGCTGGAGAAATGAAGCTGGGCCTGTTCTCTTATCCAAGCCTTGGATCCGTTCCTCCTGGGGGGTGGGGGGGGGGGGGGTTGCGCCCACCTGCTTGCCAGCCCCGAGACCAGGAATTGGGAATACAGGTGGTGTTATGACTTAGGACCACAACGGAGCGCCAAATTTCCATTGTTAAGCAAGAGGGTTGTTAAGTGAGACTTGGCCAATTTTACAACTTTTTTTTGGGTGGGGGGGTGGGTTGGACAAAAAGAATATTGAGATTTTGGGACAAGTGCAGAGAAGAACAACCAAGATGATTAAAGGCCCGGAGACTAAAGCATATGAAGAATGGTTGCAGGAATTGGGTATAGTTAGTCTAGGGGGACAGGATAGCAGTCTTCCAGTATTTGGGGGACTGCCACAAAGAAGAGGGGGGGGGGTCAACTTACTCTACAAAGCCCCAGAAGGGAAGACAAGGAATAGTGAATGGAAACTAATCCAGGAGAGAAGCAACCAGTGAGAACTCTTAAATCACTGGAACGGCTTCCCTTCGGAGGTTGTGGGTGCTCTCCATCACTAGAGGTTTTTAAGAAAAGACTGGACAGCCATTTGTCTGGAATGGTCTCCCCTGCTTGAGTAGGGGGTTGGACTAGAAGACCTCCAAAGGTCTCTCCCAGCTCTATTCTGACTGAATCCTGAGATTTCTCATTTGAAGTGCCCCTCTTACAAGCCGTTGGAAAAAGAGGCCCTCGGGGGGCCTGGCACACCCTAATTGTCTGTGCCCTCCTTCTCTCCCCACCCCGGCAGGACAAAATGGATGCCAATGCTCAAAGTTGGGTTACTATCAGCCTTACTTGGGGCAAATCAAGGATATTCTCCTGTGACTGGAGGGAACACCCGTTAATGGCTCCTCTCAGCCCCTCCTTCCTTCCTCAGTCCAATTCTTACATCATGAGCCTCTGTGGCTTTGTTTAAAAATTTCCTCTGTATCCAGTTCCAAATCTGATAAACGGGGAGCCAAGTTTCTCACAGGGTAGGAAAGCGGTCTAAAGGCAGAGATGCTTCGGCTAATTGTCTTTAAAAAAAAGGCACACAGATAATCTTTCTAAAGTTCTTGGGTAGGTGAGTGGGTACAAGGTCCGAGAGACCTCTCCGTGGGTGGATTTCTCACCAGGCAGTCCCCGTGGGAATTGCAGACAGACTGGCAGCCCCTGATCAATAAGATCAGGCCGTGGGAATCTTTCCAACATTTTTCTCTGGCGTCCCCATCAAGGCCCAGGTGAGGGACAGTGGGAGGGAGGCAGGAAAATCAGCTATTAGCCTTAGACAGGGAAATTGGCTGGGTGACTTTGGGCCAATCACCAGGAGACGGTGAGTTCTAGTCCCACCTTAGGCATGAAAGTTGGTTGGGGGACTTTGGGCCAATCACCAGGAGACGGTGAGTTCTAGTCCCACCTTAGGCATGAAAGCCGTCTGGGTGACTTTGGGCCAATCACCAGGAGACGGTGAGTTCTAGTTCCGCCTTAGGCATGAAAGTTGGTTGGGGGACTTTGGGCCGATCACCAGGAGACGGAGAGTTCTAGTCCCACCTTAGGCATGAAAGTTGGTTGGGGGACTTTGGGCCAATCACCAGGAGACGGTGAGTTCTAGTCCTGCCTTAGGCATGAAAGCTGGCTGGGTGACTGGGCCAATCACCAGGAGATGGTGAGTTCTAGTCCCACCTTAGGCACGAAAGCCGTCTGGGTGACTTTGGGCCAATCACCAGGAGACGGTGAGTTCTAGTCCCACCTTAGGTAAGAAAGCCATCTGGGTGACTTTGGGCCAATCACCAGGAGACGGTGAGTTCTAGTTCCGCCTTAGGCATGAAAGTTGGTTGGGGGACTTTGGGCCAATCAACAGGAGACGGTGAGTTCTAGTCCTGCCTTAGGCATGAATGCCAGCTGGATGACTTTGGCCCAGTTCCTCTCTCAGCCCAATCCACCTCACAGGGTTGTTGTCAGAAAAATAGGAAGAGGGTGATTGGTCCAAGACCACCCAGCCAATTTCCCTGTCTAAGGCTAATAGCTGATTTTCCTGCCTCCCTCCCACTGTCCCTCACCTGTGCCTTGATGGGGACGCCAGAGAAAAATGTTGGAAAGATTCCCGCGGCCTGATCTTATTGATCAGGGGCTGCCAGTCTGTCTGCAACTCCCACGGGGACTGTCTGGTGAGAAATCCACCCACGGAGAGGTATCTCGGACCTTGTACCCACTCACCTTACCCAAGAGCGTTAGAAAGATAGGTAGGTGTGTATGTTCATAGCCTTGGCATTATTTGTCAAAAATAATAAAGGCAGGATACAAACAAGTAAACAAGTTAATAATATCAACTTTATCTGCAAGGACACACTATCCTTTAGACAAATGTTTCTCAAACTTTCAACTGGGTGGATTTCATGTCCCGGAATTGGGGGGAAAAATATATATATATATATATTTTAAAAAGAATCCCTTCAAGCAAGCAACTTGTAGGGGGGAGAAAAGAGGAGAGAGCCACACAAAAGTTTTGCATTAAAGGGAAACGGAAATATTGAAGGGACACAGAGAAAGGCTAACTCCTCTGGCCAAGATGCACAGTGGGCTTTTAAAAACTTTTTAAAATGCAGGTCGGTTCCCACAGCCATGCCAACTTTCCAGCGCCCCCTCCTCAGGGGCCCCCCCAGCCCCCCCCCCCCCCGCTGGCATCCATTGTCCCTTCCTCAGACAACACTACGGTCTTTGTTTCTGGCCCAAACCAGAAGAGGCCCCTTCTTTCTGCTCTTGCAAAAGAGGCCCGGCTTAAAGCACCATTTTTGTGCCCTGGGCTGATTTGTCCTTTTGATATCCTGAAAAATAACTCTTCCCCCCCACCCCCTCCTTCAAACTGAGATCAAACCAGGCAACGGCTGAATGATGAGAATCAATTATAATTATGAATTAATTATACGCGGTATCGTAGGGCTGGAAGAAACCTCAGAGATCCTCTAGACCAGGGGTGTCCAACCTTGGCAACTTTAAGACTTGCGGACTTCAACTCCCAGAATTCCTCAGCCTTATACCATCCTGATCAAATGGTTCTACAGTCTATTTTTGAAAAACCTCCAGTGATGGAGCACCCACAAATGCTGGAGGCAAGTTGTTCCCCTGGTTATTTATTTATTTGTCAAGCAAGTATTAGATAACAGGTAGAAGCACGGTTATGAATACACGAGATGGATATGACTAAAAAAAAAACAATAGGACAGGGACGGTAGGCACGATTGGTGCGCTTATGCACGCTCCCTACAGGCCTCTTAGGAAAGGGGTGAGGTCAATAGTAGACAGTCTAAAGTTCTGGGGGTTTGGGGAAGAAACCACCGAGTTTCTCTGTGTCATTCTCCCTGTCAGAAGATTTCTCCTTAATTCTAGGTTGGCTCTTCCCTTGATAAGCTTCCATCCGTTGCTTCTTGTCTTACTCTCTAGTGCTTTGGGGAATAGGTCGAGCCGCTCTTCTTTGGGGCAGCCCCTCAACTCCCAGAAGACGGTTATCATGTTTCCCCCCCCCCCCCATCCTTCTCTTAGCTCCACCAATTTGTTCATCGTGCAATTTAGCCTCCAGGCCCTTAAATCACCTTCGTTGCTCTTCCCTGCACTCTTTCTAGAGCAAAGGGTTCTTCAAACTTGGCAAGTTTAAGACTTGTGGACTTCAACTCCCAGAATTCCTGAGCTAACATGACTGGAGGAGGAATCCTGGGAGTTGAAGTCCATAAGTCTTCAAACTGTCGAGGTCGAAGACCCCTGATCTATCATCTCTCTCTCTCTCTGTATCTATCTATCTATCTATCTATCTATCTATCTATCTATCTATCTATCTATC